CGATAAGTGGGGCAATTACGATGACAGTTCACTTTGTGGTTTGTGCACTCATGAACCAAGCCGGTGGCAAGAGAGAAAGAGAGAGAGAGAGAGCGCAGGTACGACTACAACAACGACTAAAGTGGGCATCAGCTAAAGGGGCCATTTTTTGCAAAAATCAAATCGACTTTAAACCCCGCGTCAGGTGATCAATAAGAGGGGATTCTTCCTCTTGTTGAATGTCTTGAACTTCGATCTCTTGTTGTTCGCGTTCTGCTCTTTCGCATTCTGCTTTTTCGCGTTCAAGTCTCAATCTTTTTCCTTGTTCGTAGTTGGCTTTACCAACTTTAGCTCTTCTTTTGGTTCCTGCCATTTAATGCGTATTTAATTATGAAGTTGGTGAAAGATGACGTGAAAAAGATTTGCGATTCAAAATAGATGATGGGGAAATGGTGTACAAAATTGTTCATTTCCTAGCTAAAAGTACTAAAAATAGTAGACTTCGAAACGTCATAGCTCAGCAACAAGTGAGCGCATTGGAAAAAAAATTTAGTACGTGTGTTCCTCTCCTCTAAAGCTATCGATTCTGCTATCTTTTGTGGCAATTAAGCATGCAGAGATAACTCTATGAAGGCTGGAAATCGGGTCTTAAATTGGCCCCTTTAGCTGACGCCCACTTTAGTCTGCAGAAGAGAGAGAGAGAGAGCCGTGGGTAAAATGGTGTAACTGGATTTGTTCCTGAATGTTTCATCTATCTCCCAAGCTACTACATACTCCGTGACTGGAAAACCATATAAATGCCACTTATTACAAACAAAAAGCATCATAACATGCATTTGAGTTGATAGGATGTTCAATATAAATCTGAGATAAGGCTCATTTTAATTAATAAAAAAAAGAATTTGACAAACAAACAAAGAAATCAGCATCACAGTTACAGCGTTGGAAATTAAATTTAGCGATACAAAATAAAAACAGGCCATGATAACGAAAATGGGCCCTTTTTCCAAATTGAGCTACTTAAACGAAATTGAGCCATCCCAAACCAATTTAAGCTATTCACTCAAAAGTGACATGGCTACGAATTCAAGCCAAGAAAACTTCAAACACAAATATATTTATGCATACGGTGTAAAATATAATATCCAGGCAGAATAATTTTTATATAATTTTTACTGCTAGCATGATGAGAAGCGTTATCACCACTAAGAATAATATTACTAACAGTACCGACGTGAGAATTGTACTTTTTCAAAACCATATGGAATAGAACAGTACTGCAGAAATCAATTACAAGAAAAAAAAACGAAAAATAGTCTGTAGTAAATAAATCAAAGCTGAATGATCAGTATATCAAGCTAATATTTAAAGAGTCTTGACTATCTGTGGGATCAGATGAAAGTTAAATGATGCAGAAAAAGTAGCAGTAACAAAGGATATGGTTATTGAGAAAAAATGGTAGAATGTAGCAGATACAGATAGTGAAATGACATGTATAATTAAAAAAAGGCAATAATGACACCATCAGTTGTACTCATCAAAAACCATCATCTATAAAGTAATAGCGCCATCCGATCATTTGTTTGGCAATATAAGAATGAAAAGGATCAATACATGAGATAAGAGATCTAAAGGAGTTCAGCCTTCAAATGTTTTATCAACTAACATAAAAAACATTTCAAAAGATGGTTAGACCTTGTAAAATTATTGCAAAAGTATACTGAAGAAAAGAAAGGTTTTTTTTACATACCATGTTGTATAGACTTTAACAACACCCAATACTTCGATTTAAGAAAAAACAGAAAAGGGTACTTGTTCGCTTGCATGTTTTAGATATTCTTTGATGCCATCACCTCTTGATTATAACCTACGTGTTGAAAACTGGGCTATGCAAACAACAAAGCTATCATAATATTTTTCGATGTAATGAAGACACTTTACCTTTAAGTCATACGCTTCAATTACCATCTTCCATATTGAGAGTCTTGTACTTCCTTTCTTCTACAGGTTCAACTTAATTATAAAAAAAACTTTAAAGCAGAAACATAAAAGAAACTTCGCAATGCACCTCTGATGTTCGGCAGGGATATTACCCACTCGATACCCCAAAAGTACATTACTTGCAGCGGTATTACCCACTGCTATGATAACCAGAAGAAAAAAAAAGAACTATGAGGATAACTTGGGGAAAAAAATCTGTAATAACCGAATCTAAAAATCACGTCACACTCTTTCGTTTCTGTGACGGCAACCACCAGCATTTTTTTTTTGCGCTTTAATATAAATCTAAGTTTAGAACGCCCGCCAAAGCCAAGCATATAATCTTACTCTTCACTCCTTTGAAACCTGTAGCCAGAACAGTTGCCATAGCAATGGCAGGAAACATCGCAACAACTTTAACAAAGAGTAAGTAGTGTTAATAAATTACACATCCACATTCTACTGACGAGAACCATAATAAAATAACTTATGTATAGAATTCATCGAGTATTTTGACCAGGAGACCGAAGCTCCAAGTCTTGCCCATTTTTATTGTTATGACAATGAAGCCTTCATAAAAGGTACCCCCAACACTGAATACAAGGCAACCTGGTCAAATCGGTTTAAAAAAGCAGTCCAAGAAAGAAATATTGTGGTAAACAACACAGCTTCTATAATAATAATCGTGACATGAAAAAGATCGACAAGTTACTTTATTGAAATAGGATTATAGACAAGACAAACCTAACTGGGAAGAAATACAACAGGTTGGTTACATTAGAATTAACTGTAACATCTGGTATCCAGCTCTAATTATATCGACCTTAACCAACTATTGGATTAGGAACTTGAAAACAACCTTGAAAACAAGCCAACACCAAAAACCAGTCCAAAATCCAGATCCCCAACTTTAAAAACTAAACTCATGGCAGACGAAAAAACGAAACTTAAAGCCATTTTCGAAGATCTAGATCCAAAAAACTTTTGGTATCTAAAATCAACAATTTCTGAACCAAATCAAAAAGCCAAGTCTGTGGAAGAGCGTATGATAAAATTTGCTCTTAATTGTAATTACTATCAGTAAGATGTAGTTTGATTTTATATATTGATTATGGTAGTGCTATGTACATAAATTCATTTGTTATTTCTTTGACTTTTGGTAGTCCAAGTCAACAACTTATACTCGATCTTACTGATTCCAACTGGGACGACATATTCACCAAGGCAGAAAGAAAAGAAATCGAAGATGCTGGATGCAAACTATTAAGACCAGTGGATGTGTCATTGACTCGACTACTAGGTGAATTATATAAAAAGGTAAATAGAACAAAAAGATGGGTTATAAACTTCAAGGCTATTTCCCTTATAATTTTCCTCAATACCTTCATATCATAGAAAACAGCAAAAGAAGCATTTAATTTTGCACGTACAATCGAACTTGATCCTGAAGATGAGCCTATTCTCGCATGGTTATCGACATCCATCTAAAACACTGCTCTTCTTTATCTCAAGAAAAATAATTTCAAAATCCAAAATTAACTCGAATCGGATAAGATGTATTATCTCTGGAGTTTCTTAAATAAGATTTATGATGCATCGGACGACTTTGTTGCCCTTGGGTAAGTAATAGCACTATATTTTTCATGTATAAGTTCCATATTTATCTATCATGTAAAGCTTACGAAATCAATGTGTTGGATTATGGTGTTGTAGGAAGCAGGATGTGCAGTACCAAATTGGCTATAAATTTACAATAGTTTTCGATAAATCTAATAAATTGCTTGCTGCCATATTAAATTATATCATCTATTTTGATATTTTATCAATTTTATGACATCATGTGACCAAAATCATGCATTCAATGATTATAAAAATTAAAAAATCCATAATATAATAAAAGAACGACCTAATGGATACAACAAACTATACACTACTGATTACAAATGAAGTAAACTCAATTATTGCAAATTATTGGCAATTCCTAGAATGGAATTGGCCTACTGTACATAATAAATATAAACATAGAACTGATTTGAGACATATTAAATTCATAGATAAAATTAAGGATGAATTGTTACGTAAATTAGGTTATATTGCTGTATTTTATTTTCTAGTATTTTTATATACAAACAAGGAATATCCCAGACCTTACTTTGAAATTGAAAAAGGATTGTTTTTATTATATCATTTAGTCTCTGGAGTATGTGGTGAAAAATTCGAAAAATACTTACCACATAGCACATTTCATACATTTTATAAAAAGTTTTGGATGGATGAGGACAACTACAAACGAATCAACAAAATAGTAAATGATTCAATGAATAACATGTTTTCATCTAACAAATTACGTATTCTATCTGCTAGAAAGCATAATCCCGACTTATTTAAACATGTAACACTTGTATTGGATGGCCATGATTCAAGAATTAACTATGTAGATACTGAAATTGACCACTTTCAAAGAATGTATTCTTATAAATTTAAGAAGAATGGAATACGTACCCAATTTATTAGTGATATGAATGATATGATTATTTATACTTCTAAAAGTGACTTTTGTTCTGATAGCTCAGATGGTAGCATGTTTTTAAATATGAAATTATTTAAATATATGCATGAGAATGACATAATGGCAGTTGATGGTGGATATACTTTATTTATCACGCAATTTACAGAGCTTGCTAATGAAAAAGGATATAACTTTAGCCATGATAATTTTGTATACCCTATACGTAAAAATGTAAATGAGCCCTTAACAATTACTGAAGATCATTTTAATAAGACATTTGGAAGTTTTAGGACAAAAGTTGAGAATCAATTTTCAGAAATTGGGAATAAATTCTGCCGATTCAATAATAACAAGTCAGTTGTTAAAATGGATAACATAAAATACTATAATCTGCAATTTTGTGTAGCTTGTTTATTAAAAAATACTACAAAATTTGTAGTAATGTTCAATATTCCTATTTTACCACACCATAAACTATGGCACAGTAATGATTTCGATTTTCCAGTAGAGCATAAACTAATTGATATAGTGGTTAGCAATGATAAACAAAATAAAGATAAACTAGATAAAATGATCAGATTACAAAATGACCTGCTTAATATGGCTATATCAAATGAAGAAATGATTGTTGATAATGAATCTGATAATAATTCAAATTAGAGTAATAGTGATAATGATGATGTTCCAAGATTTAATGAGCATAGTAAAAAAAGAAAGCGAAATAAAGGGAAACAACAAGCAATGGCATCATATGAAATAGAAGAGATTATTAGGTATAAAACTGAAAATGGTACATATTTATTTGAAGTAAAATGGGTTGGATATAGTGCTGATGATAACAGTTGGTTATCAATTGATAAATTTAATCAAAAGGGTTTATTGAAGGAATATATCAATAAGCATAATCTTGGTATATTATAAAATTGCATACTCTAGGTAATATTCAATATATTCTTTTTCATTAAATATCTTTTTAATTATATTCATAAATAAAATTGGATCCACTATTTTAAATAAATTCTTATAATGATTAAATTTAATTAGCTTATATGCAATAAATATAGGATCATATATGATATTTCTAATTTTTGACTTGTAAATTTTAATATGCTTCTTTACAATATAATGCTCACCATCATAAATTTTATTACTTTTATGTACTAAATACTTTTTTTGATGAACATATTCTAATAATAAATATTTTGCTATAAATTCAGTAATACTTACAATATTTTCTTCAACTGGTATATAACATAATGTGGATAAATACTTTGAATTCATACCTAGCATTCCTTTTTTACCAATTATTTTTATATATACACAAAATTCAATTTTTTGTACAATTTGGATTTTTACAGCCAATAGATTTCTTACAGCCAATAGTATTATCTAATATCTAATTGGAGTTGGATGTCCCCAGAAGGAGAAACACAGTACTGCAAGTGCATCAGCAACAAACCAAAAACGAAAATTGTCGGCAGTAGACCCCGTGGAAAATTTAAAAATGGGAAGAAGAACTGATACAACCTATATTGGAGGAAACGGTGTTGAACTAGGTTGCTTGGAAATTGGTAGAACAAACGATCAAACTAAAGAGTTTATCGATGGTTCAATTAAGATGCCTATGGTAATGAGAGACATGCTGTTGAAATTGGTCGAAGAAAACCCAGCTCTTGTCAATCAACTTCATATTTTAGGATATCTCATCATGGGTAAGTTACGATTAATAAATGCTATTTTTTTGGTATGATATTAACTACATGTCCCTCTGTACTACTTCAGGTGACAAAGTTAGCTTAATGGATATGGATATCCCTGATGGATATGTGACAAGAATTCGTCGTACGAAACAAGTAGCATATCCTGACAGTAGCAAGAATTTCATAGTGCATATTGGCCCATTATTAGAGCTGGCAGCCATTGGAAAAGAAATTGTCGAAGATACCTATAAAAAGTTCAGTAATGTATGATTCCGTTGTCGGCAGCTGCAGATGAACAAGAAAAACTGGTCATCCCACCTCGTCTATCTGGATTATCATCATTCGCATTATCATCATCAGAATCATCAACATCATCATCGTCAAACAAACGCCAAAACACTAGTAGCGCGTCCAGCTCATAGTCTCACCTTTGAATATACCTTTATATCATAGTCTTATCAATTTTTTAATAATATAATGTAAAAAGTAGCAGTTTACGAAAAACAACGTTTATTCCTTCCCCCTTTATCTGTATATTATTTCATGTATCTATTGTTGATACATGTATATCCAATTATCAAAAAAAATATGATGGGAGAATGATAAAAGAAATAACTGTACAAAATAGAAATTTTTTATGGAGAGAAATTGGTTGCATATATATGATATAGTAAATATATAAATGTGAAGGAAGGGAAAAAAAAGTAAAAGAATTTTTATAATCTATGTGCGTTGGAAGAAATAGCAATCAACTGGCTCACAAGAATGATAAATTGTTAACTTGTAGGAACCGGATATACAGCTTTTGTTTCTTTAATTTGAGAATCAGTCAGATGAATTATATACAAATACTGTAAACGTGAGGAATGATGATAACAAAGTTGATTTTTATGTACCACATATTAGATAAAGAATAGTGAGTACGAACTTCGTTGGACAAGATGATTCACTACTTGTAATACTAAAATAATCCGAAGGGTCCCTATTCTTTTTTTTTTGGTTATAAATGTTGGTAACAAAGGAGGCATCTTTTGAATTGCAATCCATTGGCATTGTTTTTTTTTTATCTAATAACTGTCCATTCATGTTTCTCGACTAAAGTATTCTTCAATGGTTGGGGTTGACCTTTCCGTTGGATACTGAGACACGGAATTATGTATCGCCAAGTCATCATTGTCATATTCTTTCACAATATGCCTAACTTCATCGAAGAAACTTTTTCGTTGAGGTTTGGCACCAATATCTAAAAGTATAGTATTACCATTATCACTATCACTATCGTTATCATTATCAGGAAACTTGACCCACCATTGGAAAAAAAAAGGGCCCTTGATCGTATATACATGCTCCTCGTTCAGATATCTAAGATTCACGAAGAATTTGATTATCAAAAAAATTATTACTTTCAGCTCACATCGGTCCTTCTTTGTTCACGCTTGAATTCGTAGCCATGCCACATTTGAGTGAATAGCTTAAATTGGTTTGGGATGGCTCAATTTCGTTCAAGTAGCTCAATTTGGAAAAAGGGCCCGTTTGCAAAATCATGGCCCGTTTATATTTTGTATCGCTAAATTTAATTTCCAACACTGTAAAAGAAAAGAGGGGAGAGCGAGCCAGATATCCAAGGAGGACGAGTATGACACTGAGGAGATGCATAAACCAAGTGGATAGAGTGAGATTTACAATGATATTGAGATGCGCAACATCAGAGAGTAAGCTCCTCTCCACCTCTGTTCTATGCGTCGTGCAGTTAGTTTTCGTGTGGCCTCCGACCGCATCGATTGTATCTTTTGCGAAACGTATAGCTTTTTACTGTAACAAACAGGCTGAGTTGAGCACAACTACATGGCAATAGGATCCCGACCTATTCAATACGTAATGGGGGGAGCGAAAGGGCGAAAGGAATGAGCGGACTGTGTAATGTTCGAAAATAAGATTAGACTGTGTGGTGCGTTGTTGTTCCTGTAGAACCATTAAGCATGAATCGACTGACTTTTTTTTTCAGGGTTTTCGTTTTTGGAATGGGTAGATCGTTTGTATTGGCAAAACAAATATTCAAGTAAGGACCGTGCACACCCTGTCATCTGAGCCTCATCTATGTCTTTTGTAATCTCTCAATATAATATCTGGAAGCAGTAGTATTAGATGTTACCTAATGGTTGGCGCTTCCCCATCTTGGCGTGACACGAGTTTCAGGTGAACGACGATGCGCCATGGCAAAGAGAAAGAACTACTACTACTACTACTAAGCTTTCTGGCAGTCTCGATTTTGTTTGCGGTTCTTGATGAACTCATGCGCATATCTGTTCTTCTATGGTTCAATGGTTCGCAGTGGACTGAAGGCTTTCCTTTTTGCATGGGTTTGTCACGATTGCCTCTAAATGGCGCCAGAGAGTTAGGGATTGTGGCAAGTCGTGAAGGATATATTTCGATTTGAGATGCTGTACTGGTTGATCATGTTTGTACTTTTAAGCTAAGCAATGGAGACTTGCGCTCTTTCTGAACATATACACCAGAGGCTATATCCATTAACTGAGATGCGTCGTTGCTCATGGAATAGATGACTCCTTAGTCCGATTCCAACTCTTGTTCATTCTACGATGTAATGATATGACACTTGTCAAAGCACTAACCTAATAGTGTGTTTCTGAATCCAGCAGTATTTGGATTTATTCCAACTATTCTGATCCCATGGGTTGGGATGGTCAGTACATCGGGTTTGTGGGCGAACGTTTCCCTCGGGAAGATCGGGTTTCAGATGTCACATGCACAGCAGCAACAGCAACAGTGGCAGCATCAATCAGATTGAAGGTATTACAGTACGGAGAAAGAAACGCCACTACAGTAGAGCTGTTAGATGGGAAGAAGAATGCTGTAGATGATTTATGCCTCGGTTATTGTAATATAAAATATACAGGCGAGCAACCCAGTGCGTGACACGCGTAAACAAACACGCCTTCTCGTCGTATCACCGAAACCACCCACTCCCCCCTTATCACAGTGAGAGTGGCTCGGTGCCACTGGACACCACTGTTGTGCATTGTGTTGCCAGATGGGTCCCAGCGCTCTCACATGGTTGTCATCCATCCGAGAACGTAACGTTTCAGAAGAACAATGGAATGAGAGAGAAACAAAAAGGCAAGAAATTACCATTGAAACAATTGTATTAAGTCATGAGGAAAGTTTAGCCGCTATGAGGAAGGAGGCGCGTGTTGTGCGGTCCAGTGAGAAGAAAACACAGTATCATCCTCATCATCGACATAACAATTTGGGGGTGGGGATGGGGGATGAAGAGCCGTTAGCTATTGGTGGCTGATGGCCGTGTTATTGGGTTTGGTGGGATGCCCGTATCATCGCGCCTTAACAATTTGTGTCACAGCAACCGAGCT